CCGCCGCCGCCCGAGCCAAAGCCACTGTACTTTCCTCCCTGGTTCGGCGGGAGGTCGTCGCGGCGCTGGGCGTTCTGCGAGCCCAGCTTGGCAAAGTACTCTTCGTTCTGCTGCCTTTGCGTGCCGCTGCCGAACGCGGGCATGCTGCCGCTACGCCCTATGTCGGGCGTCTGGCTGCGGCTCGTTGCCGTCGAGTTGCTGAATGCACCGCCAAAGCCCCTCATCTGGGGCGTGCTGCCGAGCTGGGCCGGTGAGGATGTCGCAGACCGCGCCGCAGGGCTGGTGGCCTCTCCGGCAGGCGGGGCAGTCCAGGTGCGGCCCTCGCACTCGGCGGTCAGCTTCTGCCGCCACAGCTCGGCAAAGCGGCTGTTGTACTTGTCCTTGATCGACATGCCCTCGGAAAAGCCCGGCTGGCTCTTGAAGAACTCCAGAGCGGCCTTGTTCCCGCCGCGCTCCATGCGCTTCAGCTGCTCGGCCGTCCACTTGTCCATGGTTATCGAGCGTACAAAGCTCAGGTGGACGCCCAGCCCGCGATGCTTCCCCGAGCAGTCGAGGCAGAAGAAGGTGCCCAGCGTCACCGAGGCCCACTGTGGATTGGGCGCGCCACAGTCGACGCATTTCTACGCAGCGAACAGCACCAGCGTTGCTTGAGCCCAATCTGGCCTTCCACCCATTGCCGCCGCGCCGCAGAGCGCCTACGTACCTTATTGCCCTCCCGCCGCTGGAGCTGGAGCAGCGTCCGCTTAATGTCGGCCTCCGAAGACATTCCGCCTACTCCTGCAAAATGTATTTTTGGGAAACGATAGCAATAAAAGAAGGCAATCTGCAAACGCCCCTGCGCTCGGGAGCCCCAGCGGCTTTGTTCTGCACGCTACTCTTCGCCCGCGGGCACCGCCGCCGCTGCTGCTGCCTTGCCACCCGCTCCCTCGGCGTTGACCGACACAAAGCAAAATAGAGCTATCAGCATAAAGACTATGCACCCGAGCGTGTTTGTCAGGGTCATGAGCTGCCCGTCCGTAATCATCTTGCGCAGGTTTAGAGGCGGCTGTGGAGACCAAGGGCGGCTGTGGAGACCAAGGGCGGCTGTGGAGACCA